AGCGAGTCATAGTTGAAAGACTGAGTTACAAGTAAATTAAAAGTTGGAAGATTAAAAGATTAATTTTTCCTATTCTTAATATAGATAACAAATTTATTATTAATATAAATAAGTATACCTGTTGCTCACCACAAGTGCACGGGTTGTAGCAAGTAATATAAAATGAGTAGAGTATCGTTCCCTCGAGGATTTATTTAGGAAACTATAATTAAGCAAAAAACTAAGCAAATTTGATCAAGTTGAGCTACACAAAGTTAGGTGAAAATAATTTTTCAAATGAAACTAATACTAGAAAATAAAAAAAAGTACGTGATTCACAAACTTCTAACACAATTTAGGACCTAGAATTATTTATCCCCCTTTGCATTTCATAACACCAAAATTATCTTCTCTCATAAATGCTTTTAATGAAAATAAGTGCTAACCTAAGGTTCTAAAAATACTTGGATAAGCTCTCTCAAGTCATGAACAAGTGTTTAGTTAAATTGATTGCACAATCTCTTGTTACAATTAATAAAACTCAATTTCAAACACCAACCCTAATGTGGCTATGTAAGGCTAGCAAGTATATCTCTATCTTACTAGTAAAACCATCCATTCAACATGCAAATATCAAGTTCTTACACAATTTTACTCAAGTTCTACACTCAACCTAACCCTCTTAAGCATCAATTAAGTGAACCCAACATCTAAATGGTGGCCAATCAAGTAGAAGCATTAAGGAAAGAGTAAAATAAACACATATATATCATTAATCACAAAAAGAGAGGAGAAATATAGTGTTAATCCATACAAGGGTTCCAAATAATCCTAGAACAAAGGGTTTAGCTACTCATAATCATCCACAAGCTACAAATATACAAAATAAGTGGACCCATTTCAGATTACAAGAGAGGAAAGGGAAGAGGAATAGAAAAACCAAAGAAAATGAGCTCCAAATGTCTTCAAAGTTTCAATCTCTTGATCCCAACTCCTCCAATGCCCAAACCCTAGCACAACTAAGCTCTAAAAGTGTCTAAAAGTCTGAAGAATGTGTTCTGGGTCGAGCTCTCAGCTTATATGTATCCTAGCCAACTAATTTCTGATAAATGAAACGCAGCGTTTTTCTGACAGCGACAAAAGTCGTGAACGAAAGTCACGACTTTGGGACGACTTTGGCAGTTTTACACTGTTTTTACAGCTAACGAAAATCATTCATTTTGCTCTTGATTTCTTCATCCAAAAGCCTTCCAAAAATATCCACAAAGCTCCAGAAATGCTTCTAATCAAAACTTCAATCAAAATAACATGAAATTAGCTAAAAATATCAAATTAAAGCCAAGAACACAAGCCCAAAACAAAATACACATTTTCCTAATTTGGGCAATAAAAATATATACAATTGAACCAAAATGGATTAGAATCTAAGGAAAATGTGATGAAATAACATGAACTTCTAGATGTTAACAATACCATAACTTGAAAACCCGTTAAAATTTTGCAATCATGTACTTAAAGTTTAATCACATGAGGTTGATGAATTTATTTTTTACTGCACACCTCCTAATCCTAAACTTCTCTTAGTCGTTTTAATCATTATAGGCACATATATATATATATATATATATATGATTAATAAATAGTACTATAATATTAGTTATTCTACTTGCTTAATTTAAAATCATTATTCATATTTTTAACCAAAAAAATCATTTTTCAAATTTACTTTTACTTTTGGCTATAATTATGACTTATAAATATTATTATGACATAAATTACAGTATGTGATTCATTATGATACATGTTTTATTTTTCTCGTGATGGACTGACAATTTTTTAAAGAAAATAAGATTTTTTTTGCATGATATGCTAAATTAAAAAATATTTATAATTTTTAGTATGCATGAGGGCAATAAATAGGAATTTTTCCTTAAAAATTTAGAGGGAGCAAATAGTGACAAATATAATAATATTTTTTGGAAAATAAATTTTCTTCTTCAATTAATTATGGGGTAAAACTTAATAGAAAATTTATTCTGTAACACAATGTTAAAGTTTTCCCTCACATCAATTGAAGGAAGAGCGTAAATGTAGGTGTTATCTTCTTGAATCCATTATAAGAGCAACATATTTTAAAATAAAAATAAATTATTGTTTATATCTTTAATATATTTATGTAAAAAAAAATTTAAAATAGAATAAATTTTTATTAATATTTAAATTTACATAAAGTAACATATTACAATTATACAAAAAATAAATTATATTATAATTTTTATTTTTTATTTTGTGCTTACCTTTCAAGAGATAAAAGATCCTCATAAATACTTGAAAATATTTTACACAATTTTTAAAAATACCTAAAAAAATTATTCCCATGCATCGCACTGTTAAAATCTAGTTAAAATAGTAAAATCTAATAGAAAATTTTGGTCCTTGGTTTTTGGCCCAAAAAAGACCTCGCCTTTGTCTGAAACTAGGAGCAACTTGAAATGACAAAAATGCCCCTATATAATTAAAACTAATGAGCGAATTGAGGTCATTGTCATTGTGCTTGTCGTTAATGTAGTTGGGGACTTGGTAGGATGGGATTGGTCAGCTGAGTGGGATGTGTTTGGTCCTCTAGTGAAAATTTCTCTCCATATAAGTTCTTATGAATTATGTTGGGCAGCGTTATTGATCAGAGTAGGGTGCTCCAATGACCCACAGTGGCGGACTGGCGCGGAGTTCGGCCGGCGGTGAATATGAGTCAAGTTTTTTCTTTTTAAAAAAAATAGAAAAGAATATTTTGGTAATTATACATGAGATTTATTTGGGGAAAAAAAAGGTTTTAAGATTTGAGAGCAGCATTTTATGAGATCTTGTAGTTATTAGAATCTTTACTGGGGATTTTGTAGTCAATAGTGTGGCCAAGACCTTGGGTTGAGAGCAAATTTTGTTAAAAAGCAAACTTATATGCTTAACCTTATATACTTAAAGAAATATTAAGGTAAATTAGGTGCATCACATCATTTGCAGTCAGTCCAATTAAAATATTTTGAATAATTTAAATAAAATTTTGTGTGATATTTTTTAAATTGATTTCATTTTTATAATAAAATGCTCATTTGATTTCTTATCTTTTCTCTATCTACGATCATTAATATCAAAATTAATTTATATTTAATGTTATCTAAATATTATATTTTAATTGGACAGATTATAAATAATGTGATGCACCCGGTCTATCTAAGTATATCTCTATTTATTTATTGTGCTTCTTTTATAAATTATTTATTCTATAATAAATTCTTGTTACTGATTAACCTAATATATTATGATCCACATGTCATGATTTGATTGAATATAAATATATTAAATTTATAATGCTAAATACATAAGCCTTGCCCCTTATTTAAATAATGAAAATTGAAAAAATAATAATAATTAAATTAATAATTATATATCTTATAAATTTTCTGTATGATGGTTTCTTGTTCAGGAATGATTGAACAATTAATTCATTATCATTTAAAACTGAAATGGGATTAAAATTTAAAATAGCAAGATGTGGGATGCAAAATATAAAAAAGAGGGGTGAAAAATAAAAAAACTTATACCCCTAGTATGTAAGTTTTACCAAGTGAGGCTCGCTTATATGTGGCTCTGCCACTGTTTGGAGTGATTCTTCCTTGATTTTATTGAATAAATCTGTTTCCACTTTCCAAGCATCTAATTAACTTTAAGGAAGCTTCTTTTTTTTTTTTTTAAATGTAACGTTCTATGGGTATGAGAATATTCAAATGGGCTCCAAGAATGTCCTACCCAAATGGGATTAATTTCCTATTTAGGTTTGGGTTTTTCATGAGTTTGTTTAAAATATTTGCTAGTAAACTTTTGGGTTTGTAGGAGCATTTCTAAACTATCAGATGATGTTATGATCTCTTTTAATTTATTTGTAGTTACTGTTTGTAGGTGAGAAGAAATGTTAAATGCAAAGCACATGAAGAAGTTTGATATATCATTCTCTTTGTACTCGAGTGAGGAGTCTTAAAAATCCCAAATTATAAATATTACGCTTGTGCATTTGAAATCTTCTTGCAAAGGGGAAATAATTTCCTAAATATGTTATGGTTTTTCAATAGCAGGTTGTTTAGTAGAAAACATGAAGAAAGGGATCGCACAAATTTTTACTCTCTACATTCGCATTTATCACAGGAATAAAATTATCCTGGGGCATTTAAGCGGTGTACTTGCAACTTGCAAGCGTATTTTAAAAAATCTTATATATAATTTTTTTGGCCTGAAAATCTTAAAATATAATTTATTTTGTCATCAATTAATCAATCGTGGTGATTGTATCTCTCAATAATCCTTCTATTCAAAATTTTCAGTAGCAAAGGTTGGTCCAATTAGATAATAAGGATATATTTAGCCCATAATTCACAAGGTCATGGAATCAAATCATACTACTGACGTGAGGACTTTTATGATTAACAATCTATAAATACCTCTATAAATGTTCTTTATGTTTGAAGGTATGTCCAAACTCTGATTTTAAACTTTATTTTATTAAAAAAATGAAATTTCCAATCAAAATCTCTTAAAAAAGTCAAGAAAAAGAATCATCATAAATTGATTTTGGTATGGACTGTTTTGTTGCGAATAAAGGGGATGGTAATTGCGACGGATTTTGTGTAGATTTATAAAATTTCATTTCAAAATCTATCAAAAAATTTTTGCAACATATTTTGTGACAGAAAATTTTCAATTGAATTTGATTAACTGAACCTATTAATTAATTAGGTGAAATCCCCAATATTTTTATGCTAATTCAATTGAGCTTGTAACCTAAGATATGATGATCAAGAATTGATTCTACGATTATAAATTCATTCATTGTCAAGCCAAATTGGAATTCATTATGAGAAGACATGCCATTCGAGAATTTTATATTGGATATTATATAAATGTATGTTAATATGTAGATCCCTGTTTCATTCCATTCCATTTATGTTTATTGATCGATCTTACTATATACCCTAATTCCTCACTACTGCTTCACTTGCATTTTCTGATGAATGATCTCGAACCCTAACAATTTCAACGTCACAATTATTGTTATGATCAGAGCTGTGTTTGTCTTCTGCATGAGATCTGACTTTGGTTCCATCATCAAGAAGACTTTCTGATGAAACATGTTGCTGACTCATCTTCTTTATCTCTTTGTCTTTTCCCCATAGAAATACATATAATCCACACACTATCGACATCCCTCCCATTATACTGCAAATTCAGAATAGCAAGTCAAAAATTATAAAGTCAGTCATATACATACATATAACACTTGGTGACACTAAAATAAAGCATACAACTAATACAAGCATGTCTTCAAGTGCATGCACATAAACATACCTGTGTGTGCAGCTATACATGTGTTATTCATGTGCATGACTTCATGAGAAAATCTCTCTCTCTCTCTCAAAGATTAGCTTATATAATGAAATATATATTAAAGAGCAATGAAGGGAAGCACATATACCTTCCAAGATGTAACTTCTCGTTTAACATGAAAAGGCCACAAATGACCACAAAAACAAGCAAAAGAGGGTTGAAAGCACAAACGTAAAGAGGGCCTCTCATATGCATACACCATGTCGCCGCCACCATCATTACTCCAGAATTCACTATTCCCTATATTCATTATTCAAATTCATATAATTATCAATAATTATTGGATTACCAAACATTTCTCACGTTAACATTGGTATCAATAAGAAATATTAACTAAAAAGAAAACCACAATTTTAACAAATTATAAAATGTTGGATTACATCATCCACTCTTGATTGGAATTTGGATATTATATTAATTAGTATTTAATATAATTTATTTTAATTAAATTAGTTTTGACCAGAATCAAGAATTGATTGATATTTGATTTATTGACCGAATTTGGAATAATTTAATCCCCAAGATAAAGGATAGGGAAAAAATAACAATTGGTTCCTATAATTTTATCATGTTTTGTTATTGATTTCTATATTTTTTTTAAATGTTACAGGTCCCTCTAATTTTTTTGTCCATAGTGTTAATCTCTTTATTTTTAAGTATATCTGGAGGGATGATGATGTGGCAGTAATAACAACATTAATGAGGATGCTAACATGTTTACAATGAGTTGGCAATTTGAATTAGTAGAATGTAAAAACAGGGACGATTGCTTTTTGACAATGATTTTTATGATGACAACATTTGTCAATGTCGTAAAATGATTTTCAATCATTGCGGGTCAAGTTTTTTACCTTATACATCAAATGCCCTAATTTAACATTGTTAATGTCATATTATCGTTCCTCTAGGCATATTAAAAATAAAAGGACTAACGTTGCATATGAGAAAAATTATAAGGACATTGAACATTGAAAAAAAATATATAGAGACTAATAACAAAACCTGATAAAAATATAGAGATCAATAGTTATGTTTTTTCTAAATGATATATCATACTATAATCATCCTCTCATAATAAGCAAGGATTTATCACGATATGTTTCCTAATTTATATCAACCACCTACACTATAAATAGAGGAGGCTAAAAGATACACAAACTTGAATATATCTTCTGTATTCACTCTTTTCCTTTCTCTTTTTCTCTCTCGTGAGGTGTATCTGCTGTGCTTCAAGAAAAGACTACTCGAATAGTCTATTCTCTGAATGGGTTTTTATGTTAACTGCTCCATATTCGCATCTGATATGTGTCTTTACCCTGTAGCTCTATTTAATTTATGAATATTTATTATTGATTTATTTCCTGCAGAAACAGTGTCCATTCATCAAACTTACTGAATAAGCTACTGTGAGAAGCCTGACATTCGAACCTAACTTCCATTGAGTCCAATCCCTCTCAACGCAAAGAGCAAAGGCAGTAGAAAGGAGGGATGCCATGAAACACAACAAAGCCGTGCTTGAGTAGTGACATGGGTAACTTTTACTCAACTTAGTCTGTGTCATAATAATCAAAGTCAGGGTTAAATTTGTAATAATCAAACAAAAAAGAACATGTAGAAATTAAAAAGTAAATTGATAAAACCCATTGGCCTATATATTACATCCATTTTCAAAGAAAGACCTGAACGATGGACGACAAAGCAGAGGTGAAGCAGCTTCCGAGTGCATAAAGAGCACCCAAGAGGGCGTTACCACTAGAGGAAGTTTGTGGTGATACCACATGTCCGTTATGGTGATGCAAGAGAGCGATGTGGAAGGAACCTGTGTGTATTTCTATGCCTTTGAAGAATGTTATAATCATAGCCCCAATTATTCCCATTATTGTTCCAACGATCTTGGCTTTTCCTGGTGCTGTTCTTAAATTCAATCTTTCCAAACTGTTCACAAATTTAAACACATTAATAAAAGGGTGTACTTTCTCCTTCATAAAAATTATTAATTTTATTTTTCTGAAGATTTTTCTCGTATGTCCAATAAAAAAATTTTTTCATAAAAGAATGAATTCTTTTTTTGTCAAGAAACAGTAGTATTATATATAGGATGAATGCTTTTAAAAAATTAACATACCCATGCCAGATGGGATCCGGATTTGGTGAGTGTCCCACGTGGCACTATAGAGATCATTAATTCAATCAAACGGTTGTGAAAGAAGACAAGCAAGGACATTAATTCACAAAATCATAGGATGCAAAAGGATCCATTATAAGGCATAGGTTGACCAATAACAAAAGCTAGAGCTAAAATTATGAAGGAAGCCTTGAAAGGAGTAATCCAAAGCATGCTTGAGTTGGAACCATTACATGTTGCCGAATTGGAAGTCCAAAATGACATAGGGGTCGTGCTATTCATGGTGGGCCAAGTACTAGAAGAAGATCATGGGCCAAGCAGAGTTGAACTTGAAGAGCTCACTTAAATGTCACATGCACATGGGAATCAAAGTGACGTTTTCTTAAGGAGAATTTTTAGGGATACTTTTAATCTTTTTTTATCATTAAATAAGGCCATTATGATGGTCAAAATCTTTGGATAAGTTGAGAAAATTATTTATTGTCAAATTAGGATTTTAATACTTTATCTCATGAAACAAGTGCTGAAAATCCTTTTTGGGAAGCATAAGGAGGTGCCAACCTTGACGGGAAATCAGCCTTTAATGGCCTCTTCAATGTAAAATGGTGCCACTCATGGTATGTATTATGTTTAGGGTTTTCTTTTGCCCTCCCATTTGCCTATTTAAGCACATTTTTATCTTGGAATTTGCAGAATTGAACGAATTTCATTTTTCACAGTATTGTGTCTTTCTTGATCTTCTTTGAGTCTTGAGAGAATGTGTGAATTATCAGAGGAGTGGTTATCGTTTGTGGCGTTCCAGAGCTAGGGTTCAAGAGACAGGATCTCTTGGGGTCTAATTCCTCTAACCAACATCTATCTATATCTTTTAATTTGTGTTCCACCCTTGTCTTTGTTGTTTTCTTGAAATATTGCACGATCTGATCTCAAAGGAGGTTCCTTGGACAAGCTTCATCGGGGGTTTCTGTATCATTATATATAGAAAGAACACTAAATAACATATCTACCTTTTGTTATATTGTCCTATACGTTAATCTAACGACTGATATGGACGCAGAAAAATGCTTGAAATGTATCCTCATAAATCACTACTTAACTCAGTGTTATTTACTTCTGGTCAAGCATAAATTTCCATACATTGATGAAATCTTATCGTTCAATGTGAACACACTCACTAGATGAGAGGATTTCGAGCACTCAGAATCCAAATCCTATTGCATTATGTATATAGTAGGACAATGTCAATACGTACTTCACAATGAAGGTAATATACTTTTAAACTTTTTTTGATTGATTATTTCGTTTCAAAATGTTCTAAAATAATACAACAAATTAGTTACACACTATCATTGAATCGAACCATATTATATTTGTGAGCGGGAGAAGCAAAGAGAAAAAAATGATTTTGTTAACCAACAAAAAGATTAAAAATAGAAAAATAAGAAGAATTTAAAGAAGTGGAAAAACATATATAAATTGCAATGAAACTCACCGAAAGGAGACGGCCAAGATAAAGGTGATGGCTGGAAGAAGATTGGCCATCGCGGATGCAAATGTTGCTGACGCTAATGCCAATGCTTCCAAATATAAGTTTTGTGCCAATATTCCTCTGCATCATAGTTATGCATAATATAATAAGAATATTAAGTATTTAAATATCTTTTTTTTCTTAAAATTATATTTGTCCAATATAATATATATAGTGCATGTGAAGTGGATCCAGCATTTCACGTAAAATTTAGTGGAGATAAAAGGACAAACTATCAGAATTGGAACTCAGTAGAGTCAAAAAAGGTAAATTTTACATCCCAAAATTGCAAGAATCAAAGACCTCCAGGGAGCTTAGAAAAAATTGTGAGGGGACTTCATCAGTACCAGCCACATGGTCTGGTAAAGACTTCCCAATAACATGGATCCCATATCAGATGGTCTGCCAATAGCTAGAGACTGAACTAGTTGAAATAAATCAAAGGTAGGTTTACCTTAGGGTAGGGCAAAAAATATACTTGCTCAATTATTAGAGTCCATATGGAGACGGAATAAAATTGAATTCAAAGTAGATAACCTGGATCATCAAACCCATTTAGAATTATCGTTTTCATCAGCATATATATAGCTCCCTACGTTAATTTACCTTTGCATTAATTGTACTTAGACGGCAATGAGGAGAATTAAGGCATATAGGATCTTGGGGCTCACATTGTTTGAATTGAGGTTCATACACCTCTGGCACGATGCCAATGAGTAAAATTTAAAGAGAATTATTTGGCCATAAAAATAAATTTATAGATAATTCTAAAAATCATTTATATTTTTAACCAAGAAAATGATCCTTTTGATACATACCCAAATAACCCGCATAGAAATGCCTGAAAGAGTACGGTCCAAGTCATCTTTGGTCTTTTGTTCCTGCATATAAATTATAGAAATGGAAGAATATTGTCACATAAAATTGCTTCACCAGAAATCAAGTAAATAATTAAGCAACACACGACAATATAATTCCAGACTAACTCGGATAACATGCATAAACATATTGGAAAATCTATAACAAAGTACATGGTTAAGATATATATTATGTGAGAATAGTAAGAAACAACCTCCCCACAATGAGAGCAAGAGGAGAAATGAAACCAGTGGCAAATATAAAGCGGTATGCAATGAGGACTCTCAAGTTCATGCCATCATCCACGGCGAGCTTGTACAAAACATTGAGCCCAACACCTCCTATCTGAGCCACCACCATTAACATCGCCGGCTTCAACCTGTCCACCACACTCCGTACAACCATCATCTTCGCCATCAAGACCACCAGCACGAGCTACAGCGACTTAGGGTTGAGAATAAGAAATGGTGAGAGAGAAGGAACGATGAGGGTGCAGCAGTAGAGTTTAATGGCAATGGTCGGTCTACGTGAAGAGAAATTGAGAGAAAAGTAAAGAGGGTATATTAATTTATATATGGACGAAAGTGAATATTTAAATTAATATTATAATAATTATATATTGGAAACAAGTTGGTTTGAAACTCTCACTATCCAATTGGCTCGGTGCCTCCACCGTAACGTTGCTTGTGTATACAAGTCAAGAGAGTGTCAAAACATGCATGCGTAGCTATATTTATTCAGTCCCTCAAAATCAGGACTTTTGCTTGCAAGCTATGTATAAATCATGACCACTTTTCATGTTTGTTGTATCAGAACTTTTTGAAAGCAGTGCTTTAATTAGAAAGTAAAATCTTATGAGGTTATCAATCCTCGTGAGCCTGTATGAGCACCCAACATATATACGACTATGTAATTCCTTAATTTCTTTCTTTTTTCAGATGTTACAAAAAATTTTGTTAGCAAATTAGAAGTTGATATTCATATTTTTAATATTTAAGAAAAATATAAGTTATGTTTGGATGCTTGGAGATTTGTATTTAGATTTGAATTTGAATCAAACCCCTTATCTGAATACATATAAGTCTATGGAAAATTCAAAATCATGCCTTATTATAATTTTTTTTCATAATTTTAAGTTCTCTCTAAATTTTAATTATTTAAAATTTCAGCTACTCTGATACTTTTTTTTTCATCATGTTTCAATTGTTGGTGTTTATAATATTCTTGCCTCTCTTCTCATTTTTGTCCTTGTCCCTGAGTGAATATTAAAAAATAGAGGTAAGCTTGTCACTCTCTCAGCCTTCCGTATCTGCTTTAAATCTCTACTCATCTCTCTTCTGCTTTTAAAATTGCTTATAGTATTTAAATAAAGAATTTTAAATACATGAATTTTAAATTTAGGATTTTAAATTTAAAGTTCAAGTTCAAATATATCAATCCAAACTCTATCTAAAAGGATAAAAGTAAAATTAAACAAAGTCCACTGAGCACATATGTATGCATGTTTTAACACTCTCGACTTGTGTATGCAAGCAACGTGACGGTGGAGGCAGCAAGCCAATTGGATAGCGAGAGTTTCAAAAAGAACTAGTTTCCAAGATATAAGTGCAAAATTAATCATAAATGTTAATTTAAATATCCATTTCGTTCATATATAAACTAATATCCATTGCCATTAATTAAACTCTATTTCTGCACCTTCATCGTTGCTCATATCTCTCACTATCTTATTCTCAACCCTAAGTAGTTCCCATAGCACCTCCGCATGTGTTGGTGATGGTATTTTAGATGAATTAAGGTTGTTGGATTATGTTAGAAAAAACAAAATTATTAGTCTCTATAGTTTTATCATATTTTTTTATTATATAGTTCTTATACTTTGTTTTTGTTGCTCTAAATCCTTATAGTTTTTATTATCTGCAATGTCAGTCCCTCTATTTTTAAATATGCCTAGAGGGATGATGATGTAGCACTAATGATGTTAAATCATCTAACTTGTAACTAACAAGATTAAATCTTATGTTGAAAATAAGAAAGAAAGAGATAGAGCAATCATAAATTACAAAGTAATGAAGATCAACTAGAAAAAACTAAAGATTATGACCAACTATACAAAGACAAAACAAACTTCAACATCAACATTAACCAAAAAAAAACAATTAATGGCATCACATCAGAAAAAAAAAAATGAAACATAATGTCTTGGTGTGATAATATAAAACCAAAGTAGAGACAAAAAGATGAATTTAAAGTCTGTCAAAACAAAGAAAATAAAAACCTAACCTCATTTGACATGCAATGAAATGACTCTAGATAATTTAACACTGTTAGTGCTACATCATCATCATTCCTCTGGGCATATTTAAAAATAGAGGACCATTATTACAAATGAAAAAAAAAATCTATAGGGACCTAGGTTAATAAAAAAAGCACAGAGGTCAATAACAAAGCATTCTAAAACTATAGAGATCAATAATTTTGTTTTCCGATTATGTTATTTTGGATGTTTGGTATGCTATTACATCGTTGTTAAGTTTGATGTTTCTACTTCAAAAGCAGTTCCCTTATTAAAAACATGATAAATTCAACTTTAATCTCAAGTCTGATAGTTATTAGTTATAACTTATAACCGACATATCTAGAAATTAAATCAAACTAGATGACCAAAACTAGAGGTTTTTCATTTGACGATTTTCATTCAACTATAATCTTTTAGTATATTTGATGATTAAATAACCATCATAGATAAAATGGTGTAACTATAAATGATGGCTAAATAAATGACATTTCATAAACATCATTTTTAAGCATTTTGTAATAGTTTATTCATGAATTATAAATAGTATCAATATCAATTTTTTTAAATCTATTGTATATGGATAAGGTGCAAAGATCATTATCCATATTTTTTTTATAAATAAAAATTTAGGTGAGCTATGTCTCAACGTTCATCAGGGCCAAAGCACATGATCTAGTGTCAAAGAGCTCTTACAAAAGTACTTACAAATCATTCATCAATAAAATCTTAATATCAGTAGTTAGATTTGATCTCATGATTTTGTAGGTTATGGGCTAAATCCTTACCAACTGGATCAATCTTTATTGGTCATTATCCATATTTTTAAAAGTATACTCTCTCCATCCCTATACATTTGCTGTTTTAATTTTTAGATGCTTATTTTGTCTCTAAATATAAGGCTGTCATATTTTTAAGTTAGACATTGTTGTCTTTGTCTTGAAAATGAAAAAGAAAATTAATTGTGTGATCTATCTACCACTGTCATGATATTAATTGTGATATTATTAGAGGCAAGACTAGAAAATCATTATAATTTAAAATTATTTTAATTAAATAACTAACTTTTATTAATATACAAGATTTAACTAAAAATATCAAAAGGAAAGTATTATCTATAAACTTGATTGGCCAACTTCGAGTGCTACCCATATAGGCCATAGCCCATGTTAAGAAAGGAAAATGAGTTGCATTCGCAGCCTTGCAAGTATAAATGGGCTAAGGTTGGCCCATTTTGAGCTACAGTTTTTTAATCTCAAAAATTGACTTTTATTATAGTATAGATAGAATTTCAGTTATATACAAAATTATATATTTTGTGTCACTTTCCCAATTAATTTAAATTTGTAAACATAACATTTAAAACTAAAATGTTACAACAGAAGAAAGTGATAGAGTTTCTGCTAGTTGGGTAGGAAATGAGGTGATACATTCCCTATAAACTAAATAGGATATAAAGGCTATAATAAAGTCCCATGAATGAGTTGTATGTAGCCTTCTTTTAGAATCGGGAAACACTTGAACCATTCTGAATTTTTTTTAGGTGTATTAGTTTCCCTAAAATGAAAGGTCAGCAATATCACCCGCTAAGTATTAAAAAGGAAGCACTATTACCCTTCCATTAAAGTTTTGTTTTTTACTGTTAATTGAAAAGAAAAAATACATGAAATATTCCAAAAATTACAAAAAAAAATGTCTTCTACAAGAAAAGTAATATTAAACTATGGTTCAAAAATTATAAATAAATGTTAATAGACTAATTTTAGTTATTACTCATGTAAAGGATCAAAATAACATTTTGAATAACCTCTTCAGCTGACTGCCAAGTGACTAACCATTTTGCTAGGGCAAGCATATCAGAAAAATGGTAGACGAAAAGGAAAAACGAAGGAAACTCAGGATTTTTTTTCTTTTTTTTTTTCATAGGCAAGGATTTTCGGTTGTTTTGAAGTGATTTTGAGACTTGTAACTAATGGATAAGTGATCTATACTCATTTTGTACTGTTTGGACTTTTCGTTTTGAGGTTTTAGATGACGAGAAAGTTAGGGTTCGATCAATTTCAAAATTGGGAGACTTCTCATCAATTAATTTGTAATTCTCGTGGTTTTAAGGTAATAGGAAGGGATTGGTTTGGATTGTTAGATCACGAGTAATCAATTAACAATTAAAGTTAAATGTCAAGATGTCTGTAAGTGCATCATTTTTAAATATTGAATGAAAAAATTGTACCATTTAGAATATTAGACACTCATAAATGAATAATTGAAGGGTAAAAATATCCTTTAACCTTTTTTATTGTAAGAAGATATATACCAGCTCAGAATTTTATATCAGACATTATATATGTTTATATATATATATATATATATATCCATCTTTCACAATATTCACTATCTTCCATGTTTGTTTATTGTATTGATCTGACTATCCAAATTTCTTATACTACTGCTTCACTTGCATTTTGTGATGAATGATCTCGATCGCTCACAACAACTTGAACCTCACAATTATTGTTATGAGGACTATGTTTGTCTTCTGCAGGAGATCCGACTTCGATTTCTTCATGAAGGTTTTCTGATGATGAAACACGTTGCTGATTCATCTTCTTTATCTCTTTGTCCTTTCCCCACAGAAACACATATAATCCACACACTATTAACACCCCTCCTATTGCACTGCAAAATTCATAATTCCAACTCAAAAACTTCATGTTGTATACTAAGAAGTGTGCTTTTAGGTAAGAAAAAACAGACACGGAAATTTTAAATAATAAAATAATAAAATGCAGCATAAGAGACTAGTTTGATAAAAAATAAATCGACTTGAAAACTAATTTATTCTCATTTAGTTACATATACAAGAAAAGTTATTAATATAATTTACACATTAAATTAATTTGAGAGTCAATTTGTATTTTGAAATTCAAAGGACTAACATGATGATTCAAGAAAATGAAATAAATTAAATTGATAAAAATTAAACTTGAAGGACTAAATTAATAAACTAAGATAATTTGAGGCATAGAAAGTTTCATTATTCCAAATTCAAAACATATTAAAAGCATGAAGAGAAGCATATATACCTTCCAAGATGTAGCTTCTCATTTAACAT